CCCCCGCCAACATCACCAGCAAGAATTCCCGGCATAGGCTGGAGCACCCGGCACTCACTGCCTCACTCCTCTGAGTGCCTGGGTCCACCCAACATCCCTTCCCTCAGACTCTCCCCTCCCCTCCTAAAAACCCCATCCCTTCCTTCAGATGCCCGCTTCCCTGATCCACCTCCCTCAGCTGATGTCATTTCCCTGCTGTGACTGAGTGGGGGCCATTAATGTCACCTGTGCGCCATAGGAGCGAGTGGCCCAGCTGTCCTAGCAACGCTGGGACAAGGACCATGTCTCCTTCACCGTTATATCACCATGCCTCAGGAAAGACAGGCCCCCCAGAAAGGTCTCACTAAGTAAAAGGGGGAAAGAGTGAATGAATGAATGAATGAATGAATGCGCGAATGACATGGTCTGCGGCAGCTCCAGAGTGACAGGTGTTCCCTTTAAAGCTGGGACAACCGGTCAAAACCGGAGGAGCACCAAGCCTCCATGGGGTTCTGGGCAGCACCCTGCACACCCCTGCCCCCGCCCCCAGCTCCCCTGCCTCGGGCAGCACAAAGCCCAGCCCAGCCCAGCCCAGCCCAGCCCAGCCCAGGGCAGCCCAGGGCAGGCCGACAGACATTTCCTGACCTCCCGTTCTCCACCTCCACGCTCAAGGCAGAATCTAGAACCCTCAGGGTTCCCCAGGCTGCTGTAGCTTCCCTCCCAGCCTCTGCAAGGGACACTTGGCTAGGGTTCGAGAGTAATCCAGTCATGATACATAAAGCAGTGAAAGCTTCCTGGGCGCTTCCTGGGGGACAAGCACTTTCATCACTTACTGCTCTCGAAAGCCCCAATGAGGAAGAAACTATTATTGCTCCCATTCCCCAGAGAGGTACATTGAGGCTAGGGAAGTAACACCACTGGCGAGTGGCTGACCTGGGTTCCCAAGCATGGCCCTGGCCTGCTGCCAGTACCCTGCTCAGGGACTACAGGGTAATTCCTAACAGTGTAATCTCATGTTTTGGTGCTTTTCCAGCCAGATCGGGGGGGGGGGGAACTCAAGTAGGCAGCTAGGCGGAGGAGGGTGGTGGCACGCAAGCCAAGCTCCTCTGGTGAAGGCTCCTGGGCTGCCTACAGGGAGGGTTCCCCACCCCGGCAAGATGCTGCAACTCTGAGTCAAATCAGGAGGAAGCTGAGGGTTCGTGAAAAATGTCACTGATAATCAAGGACAAATCAGCCCTCCGCCTGCTGCTGCTGCTGCTGTCACGAAGGCTGCTGGGGCTGCCACTGCCTCTGCCACCTAGGACAGCCCACTGAATCAGGGCAGGTGCGGGCAGTGCCCAGGCCACGAAGGCCCGGCTGACTGACCTCAGGAACGTCACCTGCAGTCCACAAGAACAAGGTTAGTCTGTGGCTCTGCGCCTCGTTTTTTCTAAATGGCCCAGGGGCTGTTACCTGTTGGTGGTCCAGTACAGCTGAGCGAACTGTGAGCTGTCATTTCTCCTCCCCGCTTGGTCACCAGCCTGCTCTGGGGAGTCACTTCCCCCTCAGTATAATGAGAGGCTCAGCTTCCTCAGCAGTAAAATGAGAGGGTGGGACCCAGTAGTCTTCAAGTGGTTCCAGCGTCAGCCTTGTCTGGCTGGGGTCGCCTTCTCTCAGGTCTGCAGAGGGGCTCTGTGGGGGTCCCTCCCTTCAAAGTGGAANATTTATGTTCCAATGAGCATAGCGAAGACATACATAATGGGAATATGCCAGAAATGCAAAAAGAAGTAGAAATGGAAATATAATTGTAGGGAGAGACCTTTTGCTCCCTTTGATCAAGTAAACAGAAATTTAGAGCTCCGAACAATCCAACTACTAATAAGGTACAACTAGCAGATCAGTAAGGACTAAATCGTAAGTAAGGGGAACACACACACTCTTTGGGAGAGAACAAGGGTTTTCCACCAAATTTATGCCATTCCTGGGTCCAGCCTAGCACTTGAAAGCCATGGCAATTCTACCCTTCTCAGACCAAGAAGAAAGCAACTCTTGGATTGTTGGAAAAGTCATGACATGTTTTTTCTGTTTTTTTGTTGCAAATGCGTCATGACTTTTCCGACCACCCAATACTTGCTGCAGCACCACTAGTAATATTAACATTAGTAACAGTAATAACACAAAATGAGCATTTTTATGCATCTCTTCAGTAGTCTCTTAAATAATGTGTGGGTCACAGACAAAATCAGAAGTACATTACTAAAATACTAGAAAGGAACAAATGTTTATACACAAAACACGGAGGCAGTCACAGCTTAAAGGAAAATGGGAATCCCTAAGTATTGTTGTAAAAGGAAAAGACGGTGAGAAATGAGGTGGACCTAGGCTACACTTGGAGAATCTTAAAGAGTGACATGGGGTGACCATGGCCCTTGCACTGCTCTGGTCACCCGTGCACCGGAGGCTGTCTGTCAGCAGGGGCTGCATGTGGAGGGGCTGGGAAGCCACAACACAGGTTACTACGTAGAAAGGACTAGAGCAGCAGCTCATAATCTATAAAAGAATAGATATATTAGCCTCCTCCAGGGCTCAAGACATGCTCCACTGTATGATACCACGGGGCCGTGAAAGAATGGTTCCAAGTGTAGTAGAAAATAGACCAGAGCATGTTCCAGAGCAGACAAAGCAGCCTTGCTGTGTCGTGAGCTCTCTTTCACCAGAGGTATGCAAGCAAAGGCAGGAGATCCACTTATTCAGAACGTTGTCAAGGGAATTCACACACATGGGGGTGTTTTTAAAAAAATTTTTTAACCTTGAAATGGAATCTTCTGTCAATAAATTAATGCTTAGTGAAGAGGAAAGAAAACATGCTGTGTGTGAAACAGGACTGGGCTGGGAGTCCAGAGGCCTCAGCTCTGCTCCTGACTCTCTCTGGCTGTGGGGCCTTGGTCTGGGCTGTCTCATCCGAACAGCACTGCTCAGTCCTGAGCCCAGAGCCTGTGGCCTCACTGAGCTGGCTCTCTTACTGCCGACTCGGCCCAGCTCTGGGCTGTGATTCCTGCAGTTGCCTGTGCCCCCCCACCC